TTTTTTCTCTCTCTTTTCTCCTCATTCTTTGAGCCAAAGGAAAGTAGTCTGGTAGGCTATAGCCATGCTAGTTAGATGTTATGGCCCTTGGTCTAGTATGCAGTTGAGGTATATAGTCAAACTTTAGTCCATGAGACAGCCGAGACCATCAGGTATCCAGTACTCCGTACAGTGATTCGCGTCTCTTCTTATATCACGCATAGGGGCCGGTCAGTAATATTGGGTGACAAAAAGGGACAGATTGTTAGCTGAGTCATGAGGCCGAGGAAATGGCGAGCTAAATGACTAGCTGAGGTTTGCCTCGGAAACACATGCAAAACAACGGATTCATTTCAATGTTTGACTCAATTGCCTTTCGAGTTCATGCAACCCTCGCAGTCCCACCAAAGTCAATGAATCGTGACTGTGGAAAGGTACTAGTATTAACTCGACCATGGTATCGGATCGTTGGAGATATCCGTCGGAGACTTCCTCCTTTTCTTTCTTTCTTTCTTTTTTTTTTTCTTTTTCTTTTTTCCCTCGAGGTTTGTGTCTTGTAATCTTTTTCCTTATAATTTGGCATTGACTGAGACCGTTCACGATGCGGGACCTCGTGGGCTCCAGGCTCAGCTCGAGTCAAGTGGTATGTTACCCAAATGGTGTTAGTCCACTCCATGTATAATTAATACTACGTATTATTGCCACAGTGTGTTTCAGTCACGTTGGGGTGGAAGGGAACCCACTAAAGCAGGCGCGGGGTTGTTCCATCGATAGTACATACTCGGTAAGATAAGTGAGAAATATAGCTGAGGCTTGACTGCCCAACTTCGCTACCAAGATCTGCTAACTCGCCAGTGGCCCCACCGGAATACCACCGTAGTGGCCATTAGGGTATAGCGCGGGAGGACATGGACTGGAAACTATTAGTGGACTAACTGCATGGGCCTTAATCCCATCACAATGAACTAGGATAATATTCGATAATACGAGAAAGGCATAATAGATTGTTGGTGTACTGACGGTGGAAAAGGCAATGCCATGCGATTGGTAGCCAGCCCTCGTGTGCGCGGGACTTGGCAAGAGCTTCAGTGAAGTGGCAGCTGCCATGGCCACTAATTGGTCTCTGGCTTCCAGGGGACGCGTCGGTCGGCGGAATGTCCTCGAATCAGCGAACGTTACGCTCGGACAAATATCACTTATCCCAGGCACTGGAATTTCTTTTTAACTTTTTGACTCGGTGGCTCTAGCCAGGGGTCCAGACGTTGCTGCGACCATTAATGGTCCATGTTTAGATCGGCCACAAACCACGGTGGAGCAGAACGTGAACGATGGGTCACGGATCTGCCTATCACCATGCTTCACTGAACGTGCAACCCCGGTAGTGTTCGGATTTCCTCCTGTCTTTGCCATCGCGTGGCAGCACAATGCACAGGGGAGGGGCAGTCCGGCATTCCTCGACACCCCATGGTGTGCCTGCTTTTGAGCCTACTGCAGTGAATGCAGTAGCTCTAGACTTGGGTCGGTCATGGGGGGACTATAAAAGGTCAAAATGTACGGAGTAGCCCACAACTTACCACGAGCGCTGTCCCCCGGTTCTCAACAAAAGACATTCTTGATCGGCGTTCCTGGTCCCAAAGGAACAAGGTTTGATATTCTCGCCAATTAGCCTGTCATACTGGTTGGTCTCAATTCAAAGTGGGCGTGCCCTACTTCTGAGACACTGATTAGAGAGTATATCATCTGGCCAGTCTCCTCATGCCGATATTTCATTTCGATCAATCCAACTCCTCTCGCTCCTTACAAGCCTTTCCACGACGTTAACACCCTAATGATGGCCGATACGATCCTTACGATTCGACCGGAGTGCTAATGGCAATTATCATATTGGATTGAATAACAAAAATCGACTACTGCGCAACGACAGGGACTACCATCATCAACGCCTTGCACTTGCCCGGACTCACCACGAAACATGAAGCTCCCCCCAGCTGATGTGGTGGCGACATGGCCAACACCGAATTATATTGACCCTACCACCCGTGGGGATTCTGTCCTTATCGTGACCATCGTCTTTGCTGCCATAGCTTTTGTCGTAACTTGCCTCAGACTCTATACTCGCTTCAAGATAACATGCAGCCCCGGGATCGACGACGTTCTTATCGTAGTCGCACTGGTATGTTACAAAGGAACCATGACCTTACTAGCTGGCTCTAACCTGCTGCTAGGCCTTTACGATTGCGATGTGCGTGGTTATTTGCTTGGCCACTGAACAATATGGATGCAACAGACATATATGGGACGTTCCGTTGGAGTGGCTTTCAACTGCCTCCAAATTCAACCTCCTTTTCCAAATCCTCTTTTCCCTATCATCCAGCTTCACGAAACTTGCGCTCTTATGGTTTTGCAAACGACTACTCGGAGCCGGTAGCAAGGGTCTCTATACCTCATACAATATAATTTTGATCGGGGCAATGGTCTTGGTGGCACTGCTGTGTATCATCTTTTTGCTTGTATGCATTTTCCAATGCAGGTGTGTTCACCTTCTCTCTATTTGCCTCTTCTTGCTTCTCACATTGCCAATTTGCCAGCCCGATCCATGCGTACTGGGACTTTCAGCCAACATACCCTCATCACTGTTTAAATGACGGGGCCGTTGTATTTGCCGCTAGTGTCGTCAATATCTTTACCGACTTTTTAGCCACGGTAATCCCAATGCCGTTGATCTGGAACCTTAAACTGCCGGCCCGGCAGCGAATTGCTGTGATGTCCATTTTTAGTCTTGGAATTGTGGTCAATGTTGCCGGTACCGTTCGGACGGTTTATGTGTATAAGAGTATGATCGCCTCGTACGACATGACTTGGTTGGGTTGGCCGGTGTTCCTTACTGCATCCATAGAGATCAATCTGGGATTGGTATGTCTAAGTTCGCAAAATTCCTTCTGCGAAAACAATTCTAATAATCATCAGATCTGTGCTTCTGCACCTGCATTGAGACCTCTGGTTACGTTTTTCTTGCCACGGCTACTCCAGTCCACCCAGAAATACGCGTCTGGGTATGGCCAAAGTCGTCCTCAAAAGTTGTGGTCGTCGCTCAACCCGTCTCGGCACTCTACCAGACCCTCCAGGGGCCGATCGCATCATCATACTGACAGCCAGCTGGAACGATTTGAGGTCTACCGAACGGTTGAGATGGAAACTTGGACCGAAGCCCGGAATCCAAGCGAGCCAGCCGACAATGCTCATAGTATGCCAGCTAACCACGCCCGTGTCACAACGCCCAACCATGATTTCGATCTTAAGTATGATAGTGCGGTATACACATCGCCTGCCAGCGAGAAGTCTTCTGCATCTCTTACCCGGCAAACCAGCTCACCATTCAAAGACAAACATTCCATATGACACTCCTTCGACATTTCCTACCATCATCATGTTTCACTTAGCATTGACTGCTACTTTACGATCGTTGAGCTCGATTTCTCTTTACGACACCGCATGTTCCCCATACCTTTTTAGCCACGCCCTACATTGACTTCTTCTATGTACATTTCAAAACTACATGTATTATTACATACGATACACTACAATTGCCCCATCGGACAATCCAAATAAAAGAGAATGAGAAAAACTAGAATATGAATACACCCGAGCACTGTATACTTCCACCCTCCCTACGCAAAAGCACACAGGGAGGCTCCACCACAGAGCCCTTACATAGTATCAAATAAATCCCACCCATCCCCACCGTCTCCACACTTCCGAAATAAAACCGCCGATGTTGATGCGAATATGGCATGATTCCTGGTTAACACGTCAGTAATATTACGAACAGATTAAGGATGGATGCAGGTCCATACACGATAAATTACGTGCATATCTAGTCGGATAGATCCCTGTTCGCCCAGAATCCAGGGGGCGGGCTCGGCCGTTTTTCGCAAATCGTGTGGAGGACCACTCCGTAGAATGTCCGGCCTCCGTCGGCCGGCAGTCTCCGCTGAATACGAAGCACCAATGGTGACTACTAGCGCTGGGCGGAGATGTACAGAGGTAGGGTGCGAAAAGATCCTGTTGATCCCTGTGGGGGGGGGGGGGGGGGGTTCGTATATCGTTTCCTTCTACGAATTTTGCCAGATGTATACAAAATATAATAGGACCTGAGACGGGCGGTGATGCTTTTGCCGCAGTGGTTCTGGCAGTTCCACACACGCTCTTTAACGCACCCTACCTCAGGATCAGGTTAGCAGGGGCCTCACGCAGATCTCTATAGGGCCCTAGGTTGCCAAGAAGCTTATTAGCCTAATACCCCCCATAATAGTGGGAAGTTACTGGCTTTTGATATAGCGTTATTGTCAGGGATATGACTAGCTATTGTTGTGATTACGATATCCTTGTCACCACTACTCATAACAACTGTATCTCACTAGCAACGTACTGGTGTCTGATTATCTTGGAAGTGCTTCTCGTGACCACTAAGCTGTGCTTACTACGAGTAGCTGCAGCTGTACCGTTGATTGACCTTCTCTCTTCTGTGCTCTTAGTGGCTAGTTGGCTACGAGTACCAACTTGATACCTGGAGATTGTGGAGTCTATTGACCATTGCACGCTATTAGTATCACCTTGCAAATAGTACGGAGTACTTAAGCCCATACTATTCCAATTGTACGTAAACTTTTTCCTTTTTCTTAGATAGAATGCTCTAACTATAGGTACCCTCTTTCTTAGTCTCATTCAACCCGCTGCCTAATATAGAAAGCTACTGAGATCTCAGCTACCCAATATGTTAGGGTCTTGGCAGCATGCGAGTCAGCGGAGCAGGTGAGAAGACTAAACAAGGTATATTCAGTTTTTCAAGGTCTGGCCGAGAGTTGACCAAGGTGCACGAATTGACATTCCCCTACTCGGTGCATATGCTAATTGTCTCAGACTCACAGCTGCTATGAGTCACCACATGATGCAAGCATATCTTCGGCGACTCGATACCCTCTTTGATCCCAGTAAACACTGCATCGTTGAAGCCTTTTTATACAAGTCCCTCATATGCACCACGGACATGTCTTTCGTCATGATAGGGTTATATGCAAATTACCTGCGGGACAACTTATCACATGGTCAATCATCGCTCAATCGTTAAGATAACAGGTCATATAGATGGCTACAGTTAATTATTCCCTTCGGTGGTCACTCAAGGGCCCAGTCTACTTACGTTCTAGACTTTCGGTATAATCCAAGCTACTCCATCCGGTCCACATCTCGTACTCAACAATCCGATATTGGCAATAACAGCCACTATACTCAACTATCATTTTCCTGCAGATTGGAATTGTGATGGCAATCATTTCTGACTATTGGCTTCTCCAAACTTCGAAATGTAGATCAGCCTGGATCTAAACCGTCCGTGGTCGACCAGCCACTCACCTCTCAGAGTGTAATCAGCAGCAGTCCCTATTAACGTCCAGTGGAAACAGTATCCTATTTTGAATAATGAATCCCTGTTACCATAGCCCTCCTCTAAAAACATGATGCTAGGGCCAATTCTTGATGCTCAACTTCATCCTAGACGCCCAAAGAGGAATTGTAAGCAGCACTATCATCAATTTCGTGTCTACTGAAATTTTCTTTGTGTTTTTACTGACAAGGCTTGTAAAGAAAGTAGCTTACATGCCACCATCAATATACACCTCTAGTTGCAGCAAGGCACATGGGTGCATTGCAGCCTTACTAATACAGGCACCAGCAGAAGTCGTCATGATTACCCTTATATGTCTTGATTTGTGCAAACACCGCGAAAAGATGAGTCACAGAAATATGTTTTCACTGTTAGAATCACAGAAGGAGCGTCTCTACCCAACTTTCTCGCAGCAGACAACAAGCACAGCACTAACCACCAAAGAACAAACCACACAGCAACTGAACATCATCCTTCAAACATAATGGCACAAACATCCATGCTAACACAGGATATTGCACCTATTCCTCTGGAATATGTGCCAGCACCTACAGAGGAAGAAATGCATCCATGGTATCAGGCATCCCACCTGAATCTAGACCAGCCACTTCTCAGAGTCTGGGATTCCCACTCAGGCGTTAAGCCAACATCAACAAACTGCATGTATTCACGATGTTCATATAAACTACTAGATACTTTCGAGACCCGGGCAATCTCGTTAGCCATCCACGCCCATCATGGCAACCAGACACCGACACCGTACATCTCATTCACTAAATCCGCAGGAGCTGTACAGAGATATGCCGAAGTGAGGGCCTGGAAGAGAGGCTCTCAGATGCTTACGGTTGTCAACCCCAGGGTTCGAGCGGCCAGCGGTCGACACCTTCTCAGCATGGTTAATGAAATGCGTTACTACGGGGTACGAGACCCATTTGGCATGTCCTGTGATGAAGATGAATACCTCTGTCTCTGGATGGTTTCAGAAGAAGAGGTTGTTGGACATTGGGAATGGAGCGAGCTCGCTAAACTGGATGATTGGTACGAGGCTATTATCCTGCCCGCGTTTAGAGAGCATAACAAAAGATTTGCGGCTCGTTCCTCGACAACCAATTCATCAAATTCAGTCGATGCCTTGTCCGATACATTCTCCAGTGCTAGGAAAATATCGAGAGGATGGGGCAATATATCGGATGAAGGCGACTCCCTTCGTTTAGAATACTCTCCTAATAAGCGTCAGGACTCGTCGAGTGAGGCATATAGCAAGTTATTTGAGGACTATAGTGATCTGAGCGACAGTTACTATGAGTCTGAGGCCAATGTAATCGCTTATTTGCTCAGCCCCTCGGAAGATGAGTCCTAGAACTCAAGCTGTGGGTTGTGGTGTCTAGGTATTGAGTAACTAATCTTGTTGGGTTGTTGGATAAATCCTCCTACAAGGCTAGGCCAACCGCTGATGTTTGCTTTTGGTCGAGTCTGAATCTGCTAAAAATATGCTGACTTATACAATCCCTGTGACAAATGATACTATACTGACTGATTCGATATGGCTTCCATCAATATCTCGCAGATAGGGTTCAAAGTTATTCTACTTGAGTAGTAATGGATAACATATTAATCAGAATAGGATCGTTTCGGTGTGCGCTATGTTGAGTTAGCAGCGACTTTTTACCTAGTACTGACCCCTCCATCCATGATGTTGAGCTACTATTATGTTCAAGCTGAGCCAATGCCTTTCCTTAGCCATAAAGGTGTGGCATGGAAATGATCCAACGTTTGTCCTGGATATATATCTTTTTAGAAAGCAATGCATTTGTACCGCACAAACAGAGGATATTGATACGCATGTAACATCTACATGATCTTATAGTTGGTATGAGACTAGACCGACAATACACGATGTGATGGCTACTGCTGAGTACAGTTTGTAATGCCGTTCTGTTACCGAGAAGTTTAAGTCACGTAGACGGTCGAGATCTTCTGTGGTCACGCGCGCCAGTCCTTATCGCATTGATAAACGTGACGTCTTATCGCTTATCAACTTGGGGAACTTAACGCGTTAAGTGAAAGAACTTCACCAATTCTAGAGCGAATTGACACCCTCCCTATATTTATGACAAACATCAATTGATGTTTGGAACCTTTGACTAACATCATTTGCAATGGATTCCGGCGAAGACTTTCTTCATTGGGACAAGTATTTGGCCACAGGTGATTAGCCAGACCACCTGGCAGTTTTCTTCCCATCCTTACTTTGCTTTTCTCGCCGACGGCGGTGATAGGCTGTACTCTGATTGGTCCAAATCGCCGACGATAGCTCCTCCCCGGCCGCGGGGCAGCTCAACAGAGACTCGAGAGCTCCAAAGCCGCCGGCATTCCGCTCAAGACCTGGAATTCTTGGTGATATAAGATGAGCTGGGCGCCGCAATTCTCCTTGTTCCTTCGTATTCAACTCAATTTCCATCCTATACCCCTGGCGGATTCAATTGCCTCGTGACTCGAGCTTGGTTGAGCTGTGATCAAAGCAATAGAGCTCTTATCTCCCTTATCACCGTCTCCCCACATCTGCTGCTAGGAGTATTCTTCTCCACAACCTACGCAGCGAGAGAATCGCCACACCTCTGTACACCCTCATTTCCCACAATAAATCCGTCATAATGGCCTCCATTGCTCGCTCTAGCTTCAGATTGCGCTCGGTGACGCGCGTGCCGACTGCCCGCACCATCACCACCACCCCGCACCTTCGCGCGGCGGCGAAGCCCTTCTTCGCTGATGAGCCGGCTGGTCCTAAGTTGGCCACCGCCATCCCGGGCCCTAAGAACAAGGCTGCCACAGCTGAACTGGACAAGGTCTTTGACGTGCGCAGCTTGAACATGCTTACCGATTATTCCAAGTCTGTTGGTAACTAGTATGTCTCTTGTTTCGTGCCAGCACCGGCTTGTCGTGACAGTGGCTAACAATGTGCTAGTATTGCTGATCTGGATGGAAATGTCCTCCTTGATGTGTAAGTTCTACTCTAATGGCGTCTCTATCTTCCATACCTTATCGCTCATATCGGTCGCCAGCTATGCTCAGATTGCTTCTATCCCTGTTGGCTACAACAACCCCCATCTTACTAAAGTTGCTCAATCGCCCGAGATGACTACCGCTTTGATCAACCGTCCAGCCCTGGGCAACTTCCCCTCGGCGGACTGGGCTAATATCCTGAACACTGGTATTCTCAAGGTGGCCCCCAAGGGCCTGGACCAGGTCTTCACTGCCATGGCCGGATCTGACGCCAACGAGACTGCCTACAAGGCCGCTTTCATGTACTACCGCCAGTTGCAGCGTGGAGGTCCTGAGAAGGAGTTCACTGAGGAGGAGCTGCAGACTACCATGACCAACCAGGCTCCCGGCTCTCCCCAGCTGTCTATCATGTCCTTCAAGTCTGCTTTCCACGGTCGTCTCTTTGGCAGTCTGTCCACCACCCGCAGCAAGCCCATCCACAAGCTTGATATCCCTGCCTTCGATTGGCCTCAGGCTCCTTTCCCCACCCTCAAGTATCCCCTTGAGGAGCATGCTCAGGAGAACGCCCAGGAGGAACAGCGCTGCCTCCAGGAGGCTGAGCGGTTGATCAAGGAATGGCACAACCCTGTCGCCGCCATCATTGTCGAGCCCATCCAGTCCGAGGGTGGAGACAACCACGCCTCCCCTGCCTTCTTCCGTGGCCTGCGTGAGATCACCAAGCGTAACAACGTTCTTTTCATCGTCGATGAGGTGCAGACCGGTGTTGGTGCCACTGGCAAGTTCTGGGCTCACGACCACTGGAACCTCGAGACCCCTCCCGACATGGTCACCTTCTCGAAGAAGGCCCAGACCGCCGGTTACTACTACGGTAACCCCGCCCTGCGTCCCAACAAGCCCTACCGTCAGTTCAACACCTGGATGGGTGACCCCGCTCGTGCCCTCATCTTCCGTGGTATCATCGAGGAGATTGAGCGCCTGAACCTCGTCGAGCACACCGCCAAGACTGGTGAATACCTGTACTCTGGTCTCCAGCGCCTTGCTGAGAAGTACCCCGAGCATCTGCAGAACCTCCGTGGCAAGGGCCAGGGAACCTTCATTGCCTGGGATACCCCCAAGCGTGATGAATTCCTCGGCAAGGCCAAGAGCGTCGGTGTCAACATCGGTGGAAGCGGAGTGAGCGCCATTCGCCTCAGGCCCATGCTGATCTTCCAGCAGCACCATGGTAAGTCAAATTTCTACCCTAGTTTAAAACGTGTTGAACCAATGCTAATATGTCTGCAGCTGATATCCTCCTGGAGAGCATTGAGAAGATCATCAAGCAGCTGTAAGGAACTTATGGTTTGCATGACGGGCATTTTCCATTAAAATTTGTATCTCCTTCTGTTTCACTAAATCTGGCAGAGTCTGGCGTTTAATGTTGGGTTGGGTGGGTTTCTCCGTGTCTGATTGGCACGCTATCTACGAGTTATGTTTTTTGAAGCTGTTAGCAAAACTATATATCTATAGCAAACGGCAATCCGATGCCGTCCCAAGGTGCATCGATTTTGCATGTTGGGTATCGAATAAAATCCAGCTGTTTATCTTCAAAGAAAAAAAAAAAAATGAGTTCTCAAGTAGTGATGAGTCAGAAAAGAAAGGGACAACTCCAGCGTAATAAACAAAGCAGCCCATACCCAAAGACGTATATCGAACGTAAACCGAAATCCCTAACTCCCAAGTGCGTGCAACGGGAAGGAACAGCCCGCTATGAAATCCGCGATAACAGAACCATCCCACCCTTTCTAGCCAGGAGACCTGGGAAAACTTGTAATAATGCGCGCCCCGAACTACCGATCAAGTCTCCTCTTCACCCGTGCTACCATCGCGAGGAATATACTTCACGCCCGAATCCTCCAGGCTCGAAATGATCTCGTCCGGGAGCTACAAAGCAAAACAAACCATCACATCAGCCTCGACGTTCATAAAGACACAGCGTAGGGACATAACCCCAATCACAACATACCGATCCGGTCACCTTGACCGCATACGTTCCCGGCACGTAGCTGTCGAGTCGCTGCCAGCGAGCTACCCAGCTGGTATTCGGGTCACGGAGGGTGACCAATCCTTCAAAGACTTGGGAGGTGCATTCTTGGATGGCGTCGTTGTTGCCACGGAGGCCGAGGACGTTATCGCAGTTGGGGCAACCTTCGCGCATGAATTTCTATTGTGAAGGAGGCGTTAGTTTATTGCGGGTGGGAGGGGTTTTTTTTTGTTTGTTTATGCAGGCTTGGTCCTGCTTTGAACGTACGCTGTGCAGTTGGACGAGGGAACAGACCATGCAGGCGCGAAGAGTGCGCTGCTGGCTGGGTGCGACGTAGAAGGACATGTGCTGTGCTGGTTTGGAATGGGAAGGAACTGCGATGGGTATTAAATTGCGACGATGGGCCTCGTTACAGAGAGGTGGTAGCTTCAGCGGCGGGAGAATGAAGAGAGGAAAAGAGGTTGTTGCAGTTGATTGAATTGATTTGGATGGATTGATTTGATGTCGGAAAGGAAATGCCAAGCCCGGCGACTGGAGGATCTTCGGGATTCAATTCCAAAAAAGTAATCGAGCCAGTGATAAGAAAATAGATTCAAGGTCCGAATTCCTGCAGAAATTCCGCATTCTTGTCAGGAACATTACTCCGGTCGATTTAAATCGCGTTTCCTCCCCTCCCCAAGCTAGTGAAGGAGTTCAGCCTTAAGGTTCCCTTCCCGTGGAAGATCAACCGTTTTCCTTCTGCAAACGCTCTCGTGCCTTCCTGCCGGAAAACCCCTCTCCCCTCATTGCATCCTGTCTCCGATGGCGTCGTCCGACCTTGAGGCTGCCACTGCGCTTAAGGTGCAGGGCAATAAAGCGTTCGGTCAGCATGACTGGCCTACTGCCGTGGATTTCTACACCCAGGCCATAGAGAAATATGATCGCGAGCCTTCGTTCTTTAGCAATCGTGCTCAGGTACGTTGCGCTCTGGGCACCTTTTTTTTTACTACCACTCTGCTCTTCTTTTGGCCCCGAGGGCGAGAGAGAAGCAGATGGATAGGGCACAGCATGCTAACTGTTCTAGGCGCATATCAAACTCGAAGCTTATGGCTTTGCGATCGCCGATGCTACTAAGGCGCTTGAGCTCGACGCCGGCTACACCAAGGTCAGTAGCATACGCCTTTAGAATGATATCTCCTTTCTTCTTATTTCTTTTTTTTCTCTTTTCCTTTCACTGTTGAAAATGCTGTGCTGCTGAAGATACTTGCGTACTTTCGGAGAAGTGGTTTGCCCACCGACTAACTCGATATAGGCCTACTGGAGGCGAGCCCTAGCCAACACCGCCATCCTTAACTACAAAGATGCCCTACGAGACTTCAAGGTCGTCGCGAAGAGGGAGCCCAATAACCGCGATGCGAAGGTAAAACTGGCAGACTGTGAGAAGCTTGTTCGTCGGATGGAGTTTGAGAAGGCCATTGAAGTGGGTGACCCGCCGTCGGCCTTCGAGGACCTGGACATCGACTCCATTGCGGTCGACGACGGCTATGATGGTGTGCGATTGGAGAATGAAATGACGCAAGAGTTCATCGACGATATGATCGAGCGGTTCAAGAACGGCAAGAAAATCCATCGCAAGTATGCCTTCCAGATCGTCAAGGCTGTCAAGGATCTCGTGTATGCGGAACCAACGATGGTCGAGATTGGCGTGGACCAGGGTAAGAAGTTGACGGTTTGCGGTGATACGCATGGTATGTTTCCTTTGCGCTTTGCTTCTTTCTCTTCACCCCCCGATCTTTCCCCTTCGCTGACACGCTGCGACAGGGCAATTCTTCGATCTCCTGGAGATCTTCCGGTTGAACGGATACCCGACCGACAAGCACGCATACCTTTTCAACGGTGACTTTGTCGATCGTGGCTCTTGGTCGACTGAGATCGCCTTGCTCCTCTATGCGTACAAGTGGCTGCGACCAAATGGCATCTTCCTCAACCGTGGAAATCACGAGACGGACGATATGAACAAGGTTTATGGATTTGAGGGCGAGTGCAAGGCCAAGTACAACGAGAGGATGTTCAAGGTGTTCTCGGAGTCTTTCTCTGCTCTGCCCCTGGCCACATTGATCGGCAGCAAGTATCTTGTTCTCCACGGTGGTCTCTTTTCTGACGACAATACATCCTTGGATGACATCCGGAAGCTGGACCGCCACAACCAGCGCCAGCCCGGACAGCAAGGCCTGATGATGGAAATGCTCTGGACCGATCCCCAGACGGAGCCTGGTCGCGGCCCGAGCAAGCGAGGAGTTGGTCTCCAGTTTGGTCCGGATGTTACCAAGAGGTTCTGTGAGAAGAATGGACTGGAAGCTATCATTCGCTCTCACGAAGTCCGTATGGAGGGTTACGAAGTCGAGCATGACGGACGGTGCATCACCGTCTTCTCCGCTCCCAAGTACTGCGACACCACGGAGAACAAGGGAGCCTTCATCAACGTTGGACCAGAGCTTAAGCTGGACTTCCAAGTTTTTGAAGCTGTGCCTCACCCTGATATCAAGCCTATGGTTAGTATTACCCCGATTCTTTTTTGTCTACTCGTTACTTTGTTCCTCTTTATGCATTGCAGAGACTGACGGGCTTCTCTCTAGGCTTATGCACAAAACTCGATTATGTCCATGATGTGAGATGATTTACCTCTGCATGGGACGGCGTTTATGGGTGGACAAAGAAGAGTGGTCTTCTTGACCGGTCATAGAGGTTCGGTTCTGGAATGAGCGTTGGGGCTCTTTGGTTATACTTGCAGACTGAAATAACGACAGATGTCTCTCAGATACCAAATACTGTATCTATTGAATGATGATTTGAACTTCTTGCATAGCGGAACAATGATGTGTGAATGAATACCCATGTGCAGGCAGGCATGAGGATGTTGGATTGGGCAGTAAGATGATTTGGCTTTTCTCTGACGATTTCCTTGGATATGATTGTGGTGGCTAGTTAGCGACTTGATTGCAGTATCCAATGGTATAGACTAGACCTGAGCATAGGTTTCTTGTCGGAGTTGTAGTTTTAGGAAACCCGACCGCTTTGCTGGAAGACCCCGCGATTGACTCCAACATTTATTCTTCGGCTTCCCCACCTTATTTCAGTATCTTTCTGCTCAATCCCATCTTTTCTCCCTCCCCCATTATCTTACTTATCAGAACGGCGTGATAGCACCGTTCAACAGTCTGGAAACGATGGAGTTCGATCCCAAGACCCGTATGTACCTTCATTGCGAGAAGATACAACCATTCAACGACGAGGCTAACCCCCACTTCTCTACTGGTCTTGGTTAACAGCGCAATACCTTACTTCCGACAAATCCAGCTTTGCCTCGACCTCCGCTCATGAGCGCTGGCCCGTGATTATCGTGAGTGTCTCGATTTTCCTAGGCTTTAGCTTACCTGGCTTCCTAATAAGTATTCGTGTCACTATAGACTGGTGCCATTGACGACCTCCACCGCACTGTTGGTGATGTAACCGATGAAGAGAAGCGCAAGGAAGGAAAGAGTATCATCGAGAAGCTTGCAGCGCTCAAATATGAATTGCAACATAACAGACAATTGACGTGAGTGATTTACGCCGTTGACTTGACGCACGTTATGTCAAGGAAGTCGCTAAGTTGTGCGTCCGCATAGCCCCCTCCCGGACGACGGCCAGCCGGATGTCGAAGAATATAATAAGGAGTTGGAGCAACGAGGAAACCCGAGATGGCATGACGTTGCATGGCTGTTCTCTGAATGCTACCTCTGTATGTTAAGCATTTTAGAGCAAGGGCGAATAGACGTGCTAACGCAGGATAGACAGGCGCATCAGTGCCTACTTCGCATTGTCCACACACTGGAAAGGATACGACGTATTTGCCCGCCAGAAGATGTCTACTTTCAAATCTTCCCGTCCGGCAGTCCTGGAGTTAGCCGCGAGATACAAGGAAATCGCCCAGGAGGCGGAGAAGGGCCATGATGGAAAGACCCCGGAGCAGGTCGAACAGGCTGAGCGCATACTCTTTTCCGAGATGTGTGAAATCTGTCTGTGGGGTAATGCCACCGATCTGTCCCTTTTGACCTCTCTTACCTACGAGGATATCCAGAAACTGCAGGGCTCGCAGGCGCGCAAAGCGGCGGAGGAGAACATCCTTGTCAACGATTTGGACGCCGCCTTTGAGGTGCTCAACAAGGCCCGCAAGGAGAAGAAGACCGGGGAGCGTCGCGTAGACATTGTTCTCGATAACTCCGGTTTCGAACTGTTCGTTGACCTTATCCTTGCCGGATACCTTCTCTCTGCTGGCCTGGCTACGACAGTTGTACTGCACCCTAAGCTGATCCCCTGGTTCGTATCGGATGTTACGCCCCCGGACTTCAGGGATCTCATCACCGCGCTCGCTGACCCGCAGTCATTCTACACTGCCGCCGATGAGTCGGGCAGAGAACACACCCCCCTCTCCGAGACGGAGCTGTCAGAGGTGAACTTCCTCTTCGAACAATGGTCCCGGCTCCACGCAGAGGGCAAGCTGGTCATCCGCCCACACGCCTTCTGGACCGCCCCGGGAGGCTACTGGCGCATGCCCAGCACAGCAAAGGATCTCTTCGAGGACCTGCAACAGAGCGAGCTCGTCCTTTTCAAGGGTGACCTCAACTACCGCAAGCTAACCAGTGATGTAAGTGGCCCCGCACTCTTCCTTGAACCCCCCGCAAAACATTAACATTCTATCCAGGCTGCTTGGGACCCCACAACCCCCTTCACGACCGCCATCGGTCCAATGGGCCCCAAGTCCGGCGTCCGTGTTCTCGCCTTCCGGACCTGCAAAGCTGATGTCGTTGTCGGGCTGCCAGCAGGCGAAGACGAGAGACTCCGCCAGCTGCCTAACGGCGGGGGCTCCGAGGCCCGGAAATGGGCTTGGAGTGGAAAGTGGGCTGTTGTGTCCTTCTCTGACGGGAAGGCTTAAACTAATTACTTGTTTGCGATATGCAGAGACGGGGTTTAGATCTTCAAAGCACCCGATGTATATAGATGGGCATATAGAGACGGACAGAATATACAGATAGATGATGTCATCATTGGAATGAGATATCCAGTTAATGTGTATTGGTGGACTTTTGCAGTCGGGTAATTAGCGTACTTCAACAAGCCTCAGGACTCGTGGGTCAAGTTAAGTGAATGATGAGGACAACATAGAATGAAATAGGGGTAGCATGTTCAATGTAGGGTATATTCCAGACACAGACAGCCGCTGGACTTATCACTTGCATGACGTATCGGACAAAAAAACAAAAGAGAAAGCGATTATCCCAGTTAGGCGTGGGAAAAAAGAGAACCGTAGAGAAACAGGGTAATGGATACATCAGATTCCCAAGAAAAAACAAAAAACGAGAGCGCCTATACCCACAATTGCTTCCCCCCCGCGCGCCTGGAAAAACAGAAAAATGAGTGAATTACCCTCTTGAAAACCCCAAATATTAAATAGAACTATTGCCGATTCACGGTGAGAAGAAAAAAAAAAAAAAAAGACAAAAGAAAAGTTTTAGCCCGTTAAGCCCGGATCATGTTTTCTTTCCCCTCTTGTCGTATCTTGCGGCTGTCTTGTTTGCGCCTGAGGCGCGCTTGAGCAGCTAGCATTCGATCGACGGGGATGGAGTCCCGTTGGACGGACGCGAGGCTTTGTCGCCTTCTGGTTCGATCTGCGAGGTGGTAGGTTTCCGGCAGACCTGTTATGGCGTCTAGACTGTATTTTGAGGGGGAGCGGCGGGCTCGCAGTCGTTCGGTGCGGATTTGTTTGCTGTCCTCGCGGGTCGCGAGGTGATGGGCGAGGGATGTTATGGTTGAATGGGTTGGGATGTATGTGCGGTAGCTCTCTGAGTTGTATCTCTGTCTAGAGGTGCGGCGGGTGGGAGGTTCGAGTGATGGGTAATCGGGGGGCGATGAAGGCGGGATACCATCGCCTTCCAGAAGATGGGTTTCCTTTGGTTTATGGGGTGTATCATCTAAGTATGCCAATTGCTCACTGTGATCCTCCGTTTCCAGGCCTAGGGCTTTTGACGCCCGCTTAACGTCTAGCTCGCCTAATACCGTTCTTGTGGTGTGCGAGCGCCGATCCTTTGCGCGTGGGCTTGGGCTGGGAGGTTCGTCGATGTCCTGGGTCTCATCGTTTTGCTCCTTCAGAGGGCTGTCGTGTCCGAAATCATACACTTGGACTCCAGTATAGCCCTTGTCTGAGTGACGAGTCCGCGATCGGAGTTCAGGAAGGCGCTCAAAAGTGGTCAACTTCAACTTCAGGAGGTCAATCTGGTCCTGCATGCGGCGGCGCTCCTCGTTGAACGACTCCCTGAGACCTTCTTCCTGCTCGCGATGCTGTTGCGACGTTGATTTCAGACGTTCTCTGTATTCCTGGACACGTAATTCTAATTTGGCTTCTCTCTGCTTCAGTTTTGCTTCCTTTTCCTTGCGTCGTCCTTCGTACTTGGTCATTTCTTGTTTAACGCGGGCTAGGGTTTGTTTCAGTGTCGCATTCTCCTTCTCGAGGTTCGAAGCCTTCTGTTCCGAGCTTTGGGCCAAGTCCTTGAGCTTGGTAAACTCCGATTGTTCACGTTTCATCTCCTCCAGCTTGGCGTTTGCCTCGCCCAGTGCCTGCTGGGCCTTATGGAGCTCTTGGGCTGTGTTCCCAGAAGTGTCATTCGGGGTCTCGGAAGATCCTGCGACATTCTCTACGTCATTATTAACAACGCCGTGTTGCTCTAGGAGTTTGCGCAATAGGCCAACTCGGTGTTTGTACTGCAAAGCCAGCGCTGTTTGCTTGGTGAGTTCCTGCACCAACTGCTCCTTGTCCGCTTTCGAATTCTCTCCAACCATTGTCGACGCGAGTTGAGTAACGTGACGTTCCATCTCAGAAACCTTCACTTCCTCCTCCTTGAGTTTCTCGGCTAACCGTAAGGCTTCTTCATCTTTCTTCCTGGCGTATGCTTTCGCGGCGGAGCGATACTGAATAAGCTTCCTTATTTCTTGAGTGGTTTTGTTTCTATAGCTATCAAACTCCGCTTTCCAGTATTTACCAGACTGAGAGCGGGGTTCGTTCAGGTTGATAGTGTCGTCGCCGGGATCATCTTCCGTTGACGATATCGACTGTACCGCCGGCTTCGATTCGGTAGACTGGAGGTTTTGTGAGGTCTCCGACTCCTTGGGAGACTTCTCGCGCGAGTCCATGAGTGCCTGTGTTAACTTGCTCCGCGGTTTGGCCTTCCCATCTGAAGAATTGATAGACCACTGGCTAGTCAATGGAGTTCTTGATGACTTGTTAGGTGATTCTCCTCGCTTGCGCTCATTGTCGACAACGCCGTCGCCGAATGAAACCGTCTTACGTCGGTTTGATGCAGTGCCAGGGGTGACAAGGATGCTCTTAGTGGGGGAGGCCATTGCATTCACAGCCATGTCGACGTCGGCTTTCGTGGCTATCGGAGCATCGCTCGTGTTCCCAGTAGTGGGCTTCAGCAACAGGTTCGCGCGGGACGGCTGATTGGCTGTCAGATTCTTCGGATTTGGTTCCCGCTCCATCTGATCCTCGTCATCAGCCCCGGGGGTGCCAAACAAGGCGCTCTTGAAAGCGCGAATGGCGAACACAGGCGCAGGCGTTTCAGGAGGTTCCAAAACCTTTGAGTTGTCTATGGATATAAACAAGGAATAAACAAGTCAGCGCGACAGCCGTACGATTTTGCGTTGGGGGGGAAGATCGCAAGTCCGCTATTGGACCAACCATGGGGCGCGTGCCCAGGCTTCATGCGGCCAGCGAGAGACACGCACCTGCAAACTGCTCGTTCTGCCCAGTGATCCACTCCAACATCGCGCCTGCAGGACAAGGTGAATCAAATTACTAACAAGATCGAGGGTCGCATTGCAGGGGCGGACACCATTGGCGTCTTATCAGAGGTCACGACCGAGCCGTGGGATTGACGTGGAACGCTGTGCTTTGTTTACGATGCTCAGCGGGGACGCTAACGACCCAAAGGCGGTCAGCGGAAAAACAACGGTGCGATCCTTAAGGCAGTTTAGCTCGCCCTATAGTTACCGCTCTTTTACTCCCAATTTCCCGTCCGTCATTTGGTTCTTCCCTTCCCCCACTAATTTTAAATTAGTTATAGTGACCAACTCTCCCGTACCTTGCCCGCCCTCCTTCTTTTACATTGGTACCTGATCAGTCCGAATATGTTCTTTATTGAAGCATAGAGGGCTGCAGCTTCGGCTGCAACTTTGTCACAGCTATCGCGTGGCAAAGATCCATCTCGACCTGGGTGCAATACTTTATCTCACACCGCCCGACGCCCCGCTATGCCTCACAAGCAGAAGAAAACTTCCAGCAATGCCCACAAGAACGGCTCTCCCCGGGCGGAGAAGAAACGTCAATTCCCCCGGGATGCCCCTTCACTCGCCCTGCCGGTAGTGGCCCCGACCGATTACGAGGAAATCCACCGGAATGAGATTGAGGCGCTCCGCTCAATTTACGGTGACGATTTTGAAGAAGTTGAACATAAGCGATCTGCCTGGCAGGTATGTCTTGTTTTCCCTCGCTATCCTTCTTGTCCGCACTAGTTAATTGTCATTCCCGACCTTAGCAATCGTCAGATGTCGTGTTCAAACTCCACTTGCGTGCTTCGTCCAATCCGGAGGTGCGTCTTGATTTGCTGGTTGAACTGCCGACCACCTATCCTAAAACCTATCCGAACCTTTTCTTGGAAAACACAGATGATCTCCGACAAGGGGCTCGGTCGAGGATTGATGACATCATACGGACCAAGCCGAAATCTCTCGTGGGATCTGAGATGATCTACGAGATCGCCGTTTCCATTCAGGATGTTCTAGAGGATGTGGCGGAAGCTAAAGCTCAAAATAAAGACCTACCCAGCCTAGAGGAGGAGCGCATGGAACAGGAAGCTGCTGCCAACCAGCGCGCTGAATTGGAAAGGCAAGAAGAGCTCCAGAAACAAGAGGCCGCCACTGCGGAGGAGGAACGAGCACTACAACAGCTATTGGAGGATAAGCTTAGAGAGAGAACGAAAGCCCGACTCTTACGCCGCAAGAGTCGAACCTCTGGCATAGACACAGGCAGCGAAACTGATGCCGGGGAGAATATCCCAGGCGCAATCTCCTTCGACCCGCCCCTCGTCATGGCCGACAGCGACGAAGGGCCATTGGTTTTCCGCGCGGTTTACGGGAAGACGCTTCTCAAGAGTGCCCAGGGAAAAGACACATATACCGTGAGACCAGTGGTCACTGAGAATAGGTGCCATGCTCCTCTCCTTGTTCTAAAGGAGTTTTCGATCGATGAGACGCAGCTATCTCCACTTGCATTCAGAGAGAAGATGCGTAGCAGCGAGGATAAATTGGAAGCTATTAAACGGCTACGACATCCAAATCTGTTGGATTTCGTGGGGTTCAAGATTTACAGGCCCCTCGAACCGGTCAGTCCTCAGGACAACACATGGAGAGTTTATCTTCTTCTCGAGCATGCAAACAAGGGGTCACTGTCCGAGTTTCTGGACATCGTAGGGTCTGTACCCGTGGAAACTCTGCGAAGCTGGACGATCCAGCTTCTTGAAGCGCTCGAGTTCTATCACCGGAGCGGCTTTGTCCACGGGGATATTCATTGCGGGCGCATCATGTTACTGAGAAACCAGACAGGTGGCACTATTGTGAAGCTGCAAGCGAGTATTGAAAATGCCCTCCCTGATTCTGCCGGCAGCAAACAGTCATTAGAAGTTTCAAAATCACCACTTTGGCTGCCTCCCGAGTCGACACAAGGGAATACTTCACCGACCATGAAGACAGATGTGTGGGACTTGGGTATTGTGTTTCTCCAGATGGGATTCGGTAAAGATGTGTTACAGCGTTACACTTCAGCAAACGCATTGATGGGAACGCTCGGCTTGTCTGCCCCACTGCAAGATTTGCTTAACGAAATCTTTAGAACGGACCCAAAGAAGAGACCGACAGCCTTCCAGCTCCAGCCGTCTGAGTTCTTCCGTGTTGATGCACCTTTGGTGTCTCAGTCAAGCACCTCAAACTCCATATCATTTCCAAGACGTCCTCGCTTTGATTCGTTTGGAGGCCTGCCAGCATTTTCACGGTATTACCAAGATTTCGATGAGGCTGGTCGCTTGGGTAAGGGTGGTTTCGGTATGGTGGTCAAGGCGAGAAATAAACTTGATGGTCGTCTGTATGCAGTCAAGAAAATTACTCAAAGATCCGCCGCTGCCCTGAAGGATACACTATCGGAGATTATGCTACTGTCACGTCTTAATCATCCCTACGTAGTGCGTTATTACACTGCGTGGATTGAAGAGGATTACGACTTCGTAGACGAGGAAGCTGTGTCGTCTACGGAGGGAGATCCTTTCGCTAGTCAAGGCTCTGAAGGTTCTCAAGACTCGCAAGGATACGGATACAGCACAGGCGGGCTCGATTTCATCAGCTCCAGCGGCTATCCTAAGATTGAGTTTGGCTCTGATAGCGAGGAAGAAAATGATGGGACACCATCCAGCCGTGTTAATGGAGAGACGCCCGAAACTTACGGTACTGGAAGTGTGACCGGCCAGGAACTTAGCCGAGTGAGATCTGGCTCGCAAGGCAGACCTGTTTCCACTACACTGTATATTCAGATGGAGTATTGCGAGAAGCACGTAAGTTTACCCTTGTTCTCTGCTGCTTAGCTATTCATATTCAGCTGACCGCTTGAAGACTCTTCGTGATTTGATCAGGAATGGTTTGCACGATGATGTTGACAGAACATGGCGTTTGTTTCGCCAGATCCTCGACGGACTGAGCCACATTCATGGCCATGGTATTATTCACCGTGATCTGAAGCCCGATAACATTTTCATCGATGTTGCCAATAATCCGCGCATCGGAGACTTCGGCCTAGCCACAAGTGGTCAGTTCACGACAGCTGTGCGCTCTTCGACGGCTGCAGACTTTGAAGGAGACTTTACTCGCAGCTTGGGTACGACATACTATGTCGCACCAGAAATGAAGTCCGGTTTTACGGGCAGCTATAATGACAAAGTCGATATGTACTCTATGGGGGTCATTTTCTTTGAGATGTGTTATCCTCTTGGGACTGGAATGGAACGTGATCAGACACTGCGCGCTATCAGGGAGAAGGAGCATACTTTACCACCTATTTTCCAGTATTCCGAAAAGGCGCTCCAAGGAAAGATTATCGAGTCGCTACTGAGCCACAACCCTAGCGAGCGACCCTCGGCCTCAGGGCTTTTGCACAGTGGCCAGATTCCTCTCCAGGTTGAAGAGGAAACCTTTAGACGGGCGATCATGCACTTGCTGTCTGATCCTAGTTCACCTGATTACAAGAAGATCCTGTCAGCTATTTTCTCACAGTCTCCTAAGAAGTTCGAGGACATCGCCTGGGACATGGATTCCCGCGGGACACCGGCGGCCAATGAGCTACTAGTTCAAGGGCTAGTCAAGGAACGTTTGACCACTATTTTCCGCAGGCATGGGTCTGTGGAAACTACAAGACAGATGCTGTTCCCAAGGTCTCAACATTACAACAGCGGAGCTGTACGATTGCTTGACTCCACTGGTAACGTGCTTCAGTTGCCTTTCGATCTGACTCTGCCAAATGCGCGTGCCATTCCGCGACAAGACCCTTCCCTTGAGAAAACATTCACATTTGGTACTGTCTACAGAGAGACGTCTCATGGTGGTGAGCCTCGGACTCACAAAGAGGTGGACTTCGATATCGTTTCACACAATACGTTGGATCTGGCTTTGAAGGAAGCGGAAGTCATTAAAGTTCTCGATGAGATTATTGAAGAATTCCCACCTTTGAGGTCGGCTTCCATGTGTTTCCTTGTAAACCACTCGGACCTACTTCAGCTTATTCTGGAATTCTGCCGTATCACCCCTTCCCAGATTCCGCTGGTGAAGGAGGTCATCAGCAAACTAAATGTGGGAAAATGGACGATGCAAAAGATTAGAAGTGAACTTCGGTCACCGGCAATCGGTGTTGCTTCCACCTCCTTGGATGAGCTTGCGAGGTTCGATTTTCGTGACTCCCCGAGGCAGACGCAGAAGCGTCTGCGAGCCATTATGGCGGGCACCGAATTCGCCGAACGCCTGACTCCCATCTTCGTTCGAATCAATTGGCTGATGGAGTATCTACAATGCTTTGACGTAAAGCGAAAGGTGTATGTCAACCCTCTCGGGAGTTTGAACGACAAGTTCTTTCGAGGTAGCATTTTGTTTCAGTGCGTCTTTGACAACAAGCGGCGTGATGTTTTCGCGGCTGGTGGTCGGTATGACTCCTTAGTCCAAGAGTTCCGCCCCAAGGTCTTGGCGAGTCGCCCTCAAACTCATGCTGTGGGCTTTAATTTGAGCTGGGATCGACTCAGCTCTGCTATGCTCGAGTATATCAAAGGCTCCTCGAAAAGCCATGTTAAGCACCATGAAGTCGAACCGGCTGCTTTTTGGAAGACAAGGAGATGCGATGTACTTGTTGCAAGCTTTGATCAAGCGATTCTGCGTAATACAGGCATTAAAGTTGTTCAGGATTTGTGGGCCAATGACATCAGTGCTGAGCTAGCCGTTGATGCCTCGTCTCTCGAAGAACTTCTTACCAAGTACAAAGATCATAATCACAGTTGGATCGTCATTGTCAAGCAAGATAGCCAGGAACGAGGCTTCAAGGTCCGGTGTCTGGTTCCTAAGGAGGAGTTCGATTTACGAAGCTCTGAGCTTATACCATGGCTTCGAAATGAAATCCGTGCTCGCAATCAACGTGAGGGCGCAGTCGATTTCCGCCAATCTCGAATGCCTAGCCAACCAGATCCTGGTATTGACGGCGAAAGGTCGAGCGATGTGCGCATCCTAGTCCCTCAGCACAGGAGCAAGAAGACAAATAGGAGGAATATTGTTGAGAATGGTATGTCTTAACCTGAGTTATGGTGTTTGATGTTTACTAACGAAAAATAGCTCTTTTCCGTTCTCGCGAAGTAATCGAAGATGCGCTGAATGGGCCTATTGCTGCCATTGATACGCGGGACGATTTACTCGAGGCGATCAGAGACACTCGACTATCAGACCCCGAGAGCTGGCGCACAGTCATACAGAGTGCGCCCTTGACTGAGAGGAAGTACCTCGGTCAAGTCCATGAACTCCTCGTTGACCTGGCGCATGAGAACCATGCCAACGACGGCGCGGACAACTTCAACAACGCTTTTATATACAATTATCGTACAGGTTCATGTGTTTATTATGATCTAGGACGCGGCAAGTAAGATAAAGAATCATGCGTTATGTGTTATGCATATTTCCTTTTTCCTTGTTCTTTTATACCTGAAATATCTTATTCACTTTCGCGTTTATTTGACATATTATTGGCAATGGTGTTGGATGTTTTATCTCCTCTCAGCATTTTATAGCGAACTATACCCGCAAATATACCATGCAATTCAGCGAGCAAACAATGTGACGTTTCAAGGTATCTTTGTTATTATACATAATTTTAGGCGCAATATACCACAACCCGGTTTAATCACTTTCATCATCGCTTCCGTAGCCTACCAAAGGACCTCCCGAGGCTTGCGGGGCTGCTTGTGTTGTAACATTCCCGCCCGCTAGTCCCCTCAATGCCGCAACAGTAGAGCTTGAGAAGATGCCACTGCTTTCCGATTCCTGCGGAGGAGCAGAAGCAGAAGATGAGTTCTCGAGCATGAGTGGTTGGTTCGGAGCTTCGAGCTGACCCTGATCTCCCTGTCCTGCACCCTCCAACTGCTTTGTCCGGCTATACCAGACCTCGTCAGGAGGCTCATACCCTTGCAAACCAAAACTGCCCTCGATCTTCTTCCTCTTTCGAGCCTCGGGATCCCTCCCTTCAAGCTCGGCAACAAAGTCTGCCGGCAACGCCCTGCGTACCGCTTCAGCAGCTTGTTCCTCCAACCTTCTCGCCTCACGCTTCTGAGCCAATGGGTTCGGATCGACCGTCGCCCAACGCACATTCAGGATCTCATTATTGTCGAGAGCTTACAGATAGTCAGCACACCGGGGCCATCCTCAAACCTGCAACAAACAAAGAACTCACATTGATGTGCCATAGCCTCCTTCGCAAACTCCGCCTGCGCAAGAGTAGTATACGTAACGAAAGCCACACCCCTCGACGTAAAACACGAATTCTCTCAATCTCACCCCACTCGGCAAAATGCCGCGCAACAACCTCCTCAATATCATCCGTAACGTGAATCCGACCCACATACAGCGTTCGATTCTGGCGCATAAACGAACCAACACCGCCCATATCATCGCGGTAATCGCTGAACTTGTCGCGGCCGAAACAGTCGACATTCGGGCTGAAGAGATCATGGATAGTGGGCAGACGGTGCAGATACTGGCATTCCGAACCGAGGTGACAGACGCCGCGCGCGAAGAACAGACAGAAGTAGGACCCGATGACTTTGTCGGCGCGTGTGTAGCCGCTGTCTTTGGAGATATTGCATCGCGATGGGGCGTGTTGTTTCGATAGGTAGCTGTCTTCTCTGTCACCGCCGGACCATTTCTGAAGTCATTGTTAGTGTCTATTGCTCAAATTATTAATGTAGATACAAAGCGCATAGTGCGATTGTGTACAAGAACAAGGTATATAACGTACATTATACCAAATGTTGAAGACCGTACCCGTCTGCGGAGGCGGTTCAGACTTGACTGTGGCGGGATCGACCTGGGGGCGTGCTGGACGGCGCTTCTTCCTGATTATCTTCTTCTTCTTCGGCGCGCCCTCCGCGACGGCGGACTCGGCGGGCTGGGTGACGGCGAGGGCATTTTCCTCGCTGGCGACTTGCTCGTCTGGTGCACTTGTTGCTTCGGGTAAAGTTGTGGGTTCTGTAGATTGGGGGGGGATCGGCCACTACGGTGTCTGCCATGGTTGTTGTGGTGGGGTTGAGATTGGAGGTTGAGGTTCTGTCTCGATCTTTATCGCGGTCTGGGATGAGATTATTCGAGCTTGCCGTCTGGTATCTGGTCGGATTATGGTTTTGCCGATGGCCGTGGTGGTTGTATGAGGTATTGATATTCCGAGTATACCGCGAGCCTGGACAAGGGATTCTTATGAAGCAGCTGAATGAAAATTGAAGGAATATATAACTGTAGCCCTGATTTAGCTTCACTGTCCAATGGATGGTGAGCTAGATATCATCTTCTCAGATCAGAAGAGACCATCTAAGCGGTCGATAACGCGGTCAAACTGGCCCGGCAGAATCCCCACAACCACCGATTATGTAAGGCAGTTATTTTGCGAGATTTTGATACATGATTGTTTCCCCCCAGACTCCCCACTCTTATCGCAGAAGATCGGACCAGAATACCTGTTTCCTGGTATCTCTGGCATATTCTACATTTGACACCCTCCAGGGAACCCGATTCACGGGCAGCTTTGTCGCAGTAGTACTTGTTATCGCTGAATTTTTGAGTCCGCGGGGCTCCCAACCGGCAAGATGGTGAACATCACGGAGAAGATCAAAGAGTACGTTTGGAAGAGCGAATCGCCTCGGAATGGATTTTCCAAATGGGACTAGATTCTGATATCATATAATAGGATTGAAGATGAGATGCGCAGGACGCAGAGTAAGCTTCTTTCGTTCCCTTACCCTTCTCCGACTTTATGCAGAACCCCGCCGCTAACTCGATAACAGAGAACAAGGCCACAGGTGCGCATATCACAACTATATATTTCATACTACAGAGACATTGCGAAATTCTAACCCATAACCAGAATACCATCTGGGCCTGCTGAAGGGGTACGAACCAATCTAACCCCACTCAATCAAAGCAAAACAGCTAGCTAACAGCTCCGACAGAAAGCTCGCCCGATTAAGAGCCCAGCTTCTGGAGCCAACAGGCGGTTCCGGCGGCGGCGGTGCAGGCTTCGATGTCAGCAAAAGCGGTGATGCCCGTGTTGCCCTTGTCGGTTTCCCCTCCGTCGGTAAATCGACGTTCCTAAGCAAGATCACGAAGACGAAGAGTGAGGCTGCGGCGTACTCTTTCACCACGTTGACTGCTATTCCGGGTGTGTTGGAGTATGGAGGTGCGGAGATCCAGATTCTGGATCTTCCTGGTATTATTGAGGGCGCTGCTGAGGGCAAGGGACGAGGTCGTCAGGTTATCTCCGCTGCTAAGGTTAGTTCATCGCCCATTTTTTCTATTGCTTTCTGTGATCGGTGGGTGGAAGGATATGATGGACAGCTATATGTCTAACCGGCAAGCAGACTAGTGATTTAATCCTCATGGTTCTCGATGCCACTAAAAGAGCAGAGCAGCGGGCACTCCTAGAGGCGGAATTGGATGCCGTTGGTATTCGTCTTAACAAGGAACCACCGTAAGTAGCTGTCCTGGGAGACAATCCAAATGATCATCTCGCTAACAGATCCAGAAACATTTACCTCAAACAAAAGAAAGCAGGCGGAGTGAAGATCACCTTCCAGACGCCCCCGAAATACCTCGACGAGAAGCTCATCTTCAACGTCCTCCGTGATTACAAGATGCTGAACTGTGAAGTTCTGATCCGAGATGAATACGGTATGTTTTAACGCCCGACCACCGTAGCGAATTATACACTAAGGCATACCGCAACAGCAACGATCGATGACTTCATCGACGTCATCATGAAAGATCACAGAAAATACATCAGATGGTGAGACCAAACAAACCCCACGTTTCTAAGAATTGCGCCTGGACAAAGCTAACTCTACGACAGTCTCTACGTGTATAACAAGATCGACAGCATCAGTCTCGACTTCCTGAATCAACTCGCCCGTGAACCACATACTGCCGTGATGAGTTGCGAACTAGACCTCGGTGTTCAGGAGGTGGTTGAGCGGGTCTGGAAAGAACTCCGTCTGATCAGAGTATACACGAAACGGTACGCGTCTGCCCCACAACCTGGTACCGGATGAAGATATCTAACGTTGAGCAGGAAAGGAGAAGATCCCGATTTCAGCGAAGCGTTGATTGTACGGAGCAATTCCTCCATCGAGGAGGTCTGTGATAGCATTCACCGGACGTTGAAAGATTCGTTTAAGTATGCTTTGGTGTGGGGTGCAAGTGCGCGGCATATCCCGCAACGAGTTGGATTGGGACATATTGTGGCAGATGAGGATGTGGTTTCGATAGTTGCGAAGTAATTGCGATATGGGGGTTATTCTTACGAGACAAATACCTTTAAGAACAAAATATGATACGACGATGTGACCCTGAACCGCGGCCGGATATTACAGACTGGAACTCCTACACTTGCTACACAGCACTCCGTGGCATTTACACGATACTCAAGAAATTGCAAATTGTAACAGCAAGATTTTTCAATTGCTATATAGACCTACATGAACTATACTAAATATTAACCCGAATTGAATGACATTGGCATAACCCATTAACCCAAACTCCACGCACAAAAGACCAAACAGAGGAAGACATGCTTTTAAGCGGCAGCGACGGCAGCAGCAGCGGCCACATTCTGCATGCCAATAGTGGGCTGCACGCCAACACGCTCCTTAGCAAGGAGATCGACCAAGAGAGGGCTAGGAAGGCTATCCCGAGTGGGGTGGAAAGCCGACTGGCTAGCCTTGTACTTGCGCACGCTGTCAAGGTAGATGTCAAACAGGTAGGAGGAGTCGAGCGGGCCGCCCTTGGCCTCGGGGTGGAATTGAGTGCTGAAGATGGGACGGGTCTTGTGGATCATACCCTCATTGCTCGAGTCGTTCAAGTTCACAAAGTAGGGCTTCCAGTCGGACGGCAGAGTCGAAGCATCAACGGCATAACCGTGGTTCTGGCTGGTGATATGGCAACGACCAGTGCTCATGTCCAGAGCGGGAATGTTGTGGGCACGGTTACCGTACTTCAGCTTGATGGTACGAGCACCAATGGCAAGGGCCAACAGCTGGTGTCCCAAGCAAATACCGAAGATGGGCACCTGGGAAGTCTCCATCAAGCGGCGCAGGTGGTAAGCAGTCTCCTGGCAGTGGGTGGGGTCACCAGGGCCGTTGGAGATGAAGACACCATCAAAGTGGTGGGCAACCTTGTGGATGGGGTAGTCGAAGGGGAACACAGTGATACTGGCTCCACGGCTGACCAAGCTACGGAGAATATTCTCCTTGACACCACAGTCGAGGACGGCAACATGGCACTGAGGATCGGCCGCACTCACGTGGAATGGGGCCTTGGTGCTAACCTGACGGACGAGGTGGATCTGCTCAGGGTCCACGAAGGCCTCATCCTGGTCGCGTCGTACTCCTCACCAACAGTGATACGGGCCAGAGAGGAACCCTGCTCACGTAGGTAGGTGACAATGGCACGAGTGTCAACGCCGGAGATGGCAGGGACACCCTCACGGGCACACCACTCGCCAAGGCTCTGGACGGCGGTCCAGTGGCTGTATTGCTCGGCCACATCGGCAACCACCACACCAGCAGCCTGAAGGTGAGGAGACTCAAAGTACTTGAGAAGGCCGTGTTGGTCCTTCTCAGTGGAGGGGACACCGTAGTTGCCGATCAGGGGCTGGGTGAAGACCAGGATCTGACCACGGTAGGAAGGGTCAGTCAAGGACTCAGGGTATCCAACCAAGGAAGTCGTGAAGACGGCCTCGCCAGAGATGTTAGAGCGAGCTCCGAACGACTTTCCGTGGAAGATAGGACCATCTCGGATCGTGAAGGTGGCACGCTCATGGGCAACGCGACCGTTGCGCACAGTGGCCATGAACCGAGACTGGATAGAAGCGTTCACGGAAGGGAAGGCAGAGGCCCTGGCGGGCATTGCCTTGAAGATTCGGGCAGCGAACATAGTATGTCAAGTGATTTAAAGTGGAAAAGTGTACGGTTGATGTTTATAGAAGGGTTCAGTAGTTTCCGGAAGCTTTCCAGAGATGATCCGAGATGTAGTCCTGCAAGTAATGCCGAGTCAGTCCCAATTGATCCATACTGACAATAGAGGTCGTAAACCACGACCCGGAAACAGACACGGGTGTCACGTGGACCTGAATGGGGTCTGCATACCTGAGAAGTGAAAGTCGAGAAAAAACGCATAAGCGCGACGGTGCTGTTACCAGTCACTAAAAAATGGATAAGATAGGGTTGAGAAAAGGTTGATTAGATCGACATCGACGAGATGTGCGTGCAAAGAGTTTGATCGGTTGAAGATATGGGATGAGTCAATGGGAGAAGAAAGAGAAAGAGAAAGAGTGACGAGAGCGGCGGATCTTAAGGACGAGCGGGAGAAACTGAGTGCCGGCCCGGTTCCAGGCACGTGATGCGCTACACCGACTTCTGCGCGGTCCCGGCCAATCAGGGGGTCGATATTGGCTCAATTCGTCTGCGCTATCGGAATGGCAACTTTTTTCTATCGGCGTCTTCAAATAAACCCAATTATCCAATCGATTCTCCACCGCGCCATTATCTTTTTACGCCCTCCACACTTACCCCCCGGTAAAAGGAGACACGGTGGCTGGTTAAGTAAGGGCCACACCGACTGAACTGAATCCATTGCCATAACCCTCCTTTGAGGAGTCGACAATCCTAAGAATCATGCACAATAGATCAATATCGATCTCGGATCGATTTAATTTGACAATCATACTACAGGAAGAAGAGCAATCGCCACCGTGACTCACACAGGACGATCGATTCATTGGGTAGCAAACACTAGTGGGCCTTGATCATCTCGGATGAGTTGTCCTATCTCACCTTGTTCGAGCATGATGCGAGGTTAGACTATTTCCAAGGGTAAAAAAATTTTCACTTCTCGGGTCCTACCAATGACAGAGTCTGGGCCGCTGTCTTCCGGTGCCAAAGAGTCCGGGGAATTTTATACATTATCAGGGGAATTTTCTTGGCACCGACGGCAACTTTTCTCATCGGCATGGCCCGAATGATCTCCGAGAAACTTCCACTGCTATTCATATGGAAATATGCAAACAGGTGGCACAAATCTAGCGACACCTGATCGGTAGATTTCTACATTATACTTCCGGCGAGTTCAGTGATTTCCACACGTATATCCAAAGAATCCATAGGTTCCGACTCATAAAGGGCCCTCGAGGTATTCGCATAGACTAGATTTATATAAACTATGGATGTAAATCAACATCAGTACCGTTAATGAGTAGCTCTATTTTGTCATGATCATATTCAAACCCTTTCTTCAAGCCTTAGTGGCAACTATCCTACTAGGACCCTCCCTGGGGCGAGCGTCCTTCCAATCTCCACCTCACCAGCAACTCATTTCACAGCTATCTAACCACTGGGAAGACCCGGGCTGCGATGGCTCTGGCATCGTCGATCCAGACGGCCACTGCAATGGCGATGGAATCATCGACAACCCCCAGAACCCGCGAGACAAGGAGCGAGAAGGATTCCGATTCGACAATCCTTCAACCCACTGCAAATATGTCACGCAAATGCACATCTGGGACTCCTTCAAAGATCTCGAGAAAGACATGTCTAAATTGTTCACCCTGATCCACAAGAATGTCAGCTTCACCGTGGTGGGCCACCACCCCATAGCCGGCCATTACAACGACCTGCTCCATTTTTACGTCAATGCATTGCGTCGAGTGAGTGTTTTGTTCTTGGACCATGCAGACAAATTCGAGATCCATCCACAGGCTATCCATGGGGGCTGTGATAGTGCTTGGTCGGTATCAGAGATTCAGTTCAAGGGCATCATGAACTCTGGTATGTATATCTCCGATATGACCTGGTTGGAATGATGCTGATGTGTTTTGTGATGATGATGCCAGGTGATGATTTTGATATTGTAAACGTGTGGGTGACGAGATGGTATCAAGACCAGATGGTCGAGATCCGGACATACATAGATGCCCCGCGGATTATGGATGCCCTTCACAAGAACGAACTCTGGTGGAATGGTACCACGTTTCGTGACAATGTGCACTACATGCCCGGGCCGGCGGGTATGCCTGACCTCAAGGAACTGGAGGACCTCATGGGTTACCCCGATGGCCGAAACTATGAGGACTGAGTGCGGAAGCGGGTAGTTCATATAAAAGATAGCTCAGACACGGCCAATAGTGTAGTTTTGCATGGTAGCATTGCCACACTTGGTGATTATCTTTCGTCTATAGGTGAGCAAGAAGTGGTGGGTGGTTGGAACAAACGAGAGACTCCGTGATTAGTCAACTGATATATACAGCCCTATCTTGAATAATTTAAATCCGTAACTGCAACTCGCCATCAAGCCTCCGCTAGACCCTCCCAGTCCTAGCGTATTGTAGCTAAATGTTATGACATGCTGGTTGTAGGACTGGTATTGTTTGTTAGGGCATTATGCCAAGAAGAGCGGATGACGCTATACCCGATCTGCGCATAGCATTTACTCCGTAAATCCGGGTCGAGTCATCGACGGGGCCTCGGTCCACTTGCTATTTACCTCCACCAGACATTAAACCAAAACCGAAACAATGGTCTGAGTCCATACTCACTAAAGAATGAGTGACACGGTGAGAAAACGCTCCAGGATCGCTTGCGTCTCCTGCCAATCACGAAAACGTAAATGCACCGGCGACCAGCCGTGCAGCACATGTTGTCAATTTGGCATCGACTGCCACTACGATCTGCTGTCCCGCAAGAAAAAGGACGCAAGGTCTTTTAGACCGCAGCAACCAATTCCTCCAATAGCCAGCACTACGTCCCGTAATGAAACCATCCCCAAGAGTCACCGCGAGGGGACTACAGGCGACTCCCCTGACATATCTGTTCACTCCTTGGAAGCCAATTCAGGAGCAGCATTTGTACGGAGGTTGGGTCTCAAGATCGACCCAGCTAATGCCCCGAGGTTAGACCTGTTCGCCTGGAATGTGGGTGCTCGCCATCCGACTCCTTCTTTGATGCCCCCGTCGTCAATGCCCAGGGCAGTAAGCGTTGTAGACATCATTTCTCTGGACGAAATGAAGCTGCTAGCCGCCACGTTTTTCGAGAAGGTAGATCCGTGCTACGGCTTCATCGATCGGGACCATCTGTTCCGCCAACTGGGCAGACGATGGCTTTCCCCATCATCGGAGTCTGTGTTGCCCTACGGACCGTACGACGCCGTACTCTGCGGCGTTGCAGCATTCGGGTATCTTTTCTCACGCAGACAGGCACCCCAAGCAGAATTTCAGCTGGCCGAGACTGCCGCCTAATCCTTGACCAGCACATGCTCTCTGAAACACCTTCATCAGTCGACATCGTCACTGGCTGGGTGCTTCGAGTGGCATACTTGCGTACGACAGCTGCTCCCGATGCCGCTTGGATGGCCAGTTGTTCGCTGATGCATCTCATTGAAGCCACCGGCCTTCATCTGGAGCCCTCGTCAGACACAGTCCTCGGGAAATCGGCAGAGACGTGCCACCCAGAAATCCGGCGGAGGCTATATGCCATGCGCGCCATCTTAACGTCTGGATCTCTTTCGAGCTAGGGCGTTCCCGCGTCGTCTTACATGGAGCAACGTCTCTCCCACCCACTCCAAGATCAACTAGGGAGATTTTTAATCTCCTCCCAATATCAGAAAGTTTGGACCCAAACAAAGCGCAGGACTCCCTAGACCTAGAGTCAGCGCTGGCGAATGTTCTAGATCTCGTTCACCCCCTCGCCTCACATACCCTGGCCCAATGCAACCTGATGCTCTGCATCTACCGGCGCTTGCGTGGCCTCGACTCCGTTATAGCTGGATCTCTCCTTGACCAAGTACTTGAGCTAGCAAGAAAGGGCCTGCAGGCCTCTCGCGACATGATTGCATCGATCAGTCCGTGGCATCAGACCGCCAACGTACCCTTCCAGATCATTTGCACATTACTAGCGATCGATAATCGTGCTTCGTTAGCACTGTTAGGCGATGCGATGCAGACACTGCGCGAGGTCGCCTTAGCGTACGATACAGACGTCATGAGGGAGGCCTACAGTACGGCATACCTGCTGATCCTGCTCCACCAACGACGAAAGGAAGAGGACACGAGAACCCTTCGAGGTGTTTTGCGTGCCAACTCCACTGCCTCGGCTACACAGGCGGAGATCACGGAACCCACGATCGAGTCGACTCACTCACTCGCAGACTACCCGGGGTTCTCGTGGTTGAGTGATCTGGTGATTGATATGCCAGGCCTGCAAAACTTTGATCTTGAAAGTTTCCTGGCAACCGACAATTCATGGCCGCTGCCGGAGCCAGGGATGTGATTTGTTATATTTCAGATTACAACTAGCGCGTGCTCTACCAAAATCACACACCACATGAAGCATCAAGTGATAGTTGATGATATGGAACGGGATGCCGCCCCTATGATTCCCAACCATATGGGTAATAAATAAAGGCTTATATTACGAAGGCTGCTGTCAGTCTATTCGGACTTCTTTTGCTTGGTACTCCTTCTTTGTGGCCGTGTTCCAGATGACCAGGCTATCGCACCCAGCTTCCATAATACCCACAGCGACCCGAGGCCAATGACAATCATGGTCCCCAACTCAATCGCCTTACTTTGGAAAACCCCTTTATCATCCAAGTGAAGAACCGGAACTTCCAACTTCTCAACAAGCCGATCTGATGAGGGATGCAGCTGGTAGAACATGGTTCGAGTCCCAAACAGTCCCTCCCATCCAAGGTTGACCCTGTCAAAGGGGTTTACCCCCATCTTGGTGCCGTCCTCAGCCGTGCAAGCCCAGAATACCACTGGCCATGGGACTGGGGCGGACCGGTAACCAGACTCGGACGGCCGCAAGTACCGCAGATGGAGGGGAATCGTAACATTCCACTCCGCTGGAACTTGTTCAGATTCAGAAGGTGTGGCTAGCTCAAGCAACCAATTTGACCCCCAGCGAGACACAAACCAGTCTGGCGCCTCAAGGTCTGTCTCTCCAGCGACTGCGCGAAGAGCAACCAAGTTGTGAGAGTCCAGGAATAATGGGTCAGTGGTCGAAAGCTGATACTTATCACCAAATACAGTCGATGGGAGCGTTAGGTAGGCGTGAAGCGCGCATATCGCGTCCGGCGGAGCAGGCGGGTGGTTAAGCGACGATGGTGGCATCGAGATGGTCATGGTTGGATGCAAACCAGTCGGGGAAGTAAACGAGATTGAATATGTTGCATCCTCTGGGAGAGGCTGATGGCGAGAGGGGAAAGAGAAGAGCGTTGGCTCTGCCCATGAATCATCAGTACCATATCCGTACGCAACACCAAACGCACTCAGCAATCCGTTACTAAGCATACTCAACTGATCATCCTTTCCGACAACAGCCAGTAGCCCTCCCATCTTAATATCCTCAGGCTCTGTCGCCGTTTCAGTGCCTAATAGCCCCACTTCAACCTGATCTGTTCCCGCAGCATGCTTCCGTATCTCATCCGTCCATCCATTTTCTGGCGATTGTGACCAATACCCCAAGACAGTCAACGAATGCGATATACTATCGTAGTTGATATCGACCGAGTCCGCAGACCGAATAGATGCAGCATAACGGAGGCATTGCTCATCGGACGACGAACAAATCTTGTTCTCGATATACGCAACTAGGTTGTCAAGGGACGGAAGTAAACTGTGGTATTGGAAAGCAGCGGTGGAAGCGAAACGCGTGGACAGGATGGGAGGCGTAATGAAAGATTCCTGCAATGTCTGTCAGCCACGAGTATGCTTAACAGAGAAACGCAATACCAACCTCGGGACTCTTGCATTTCAACCCATAATCAAATGTTCTCTTCAATAGCGCACACAACGATTTCCTTCAAGAAACCATTAATATATACATAGCAATCACACCCATACCCTAAGCAATAAAAACTCACAATTTGTTCTCCTCAGACGAACCATCAACAGGTGTGTAGAAAACATGTAATCCAGGCGAAACCCGACTCGAAAACGGCGCAACAGTATCATACCGCCTTTCCGACGCCCACCGGAGATGAAGCTGATGACACTGTTTCAAGACCTCTGCAAGCTAAGATAATCACAATCCAGTATTAGCCATATACAACCTTTGAATTTAGAGGACAGGCTATCAAAAGCAACAAGAAAATACCTCCTCAGGGAGCTCATCAACGCTAAACGTCGCCCGTTCCTCACGGGCACCATCAATCCCATGCAAGGTGAGGGCATCAGGTGTTAGGACCGCTTGATCCAGGGAGAAGGGGGTCTCGGGACGTTGAACGAAGGTGATTCTGCGACGCATTGTTGGATCGCTTGATTGAGGCAGTTGTCGGTAGTTACTGGTTGGGGAGAGTTGGAGCTTGCTTCTCCGCATTTATTGTTTGTCGTCACGGAGAGTGCTTGTTGCTTGATTGGGTTAGTGTTGGTGTTTTGGTGATAAGATAAGGATTGCCTTTTTGGGACAGATAACTGGTTACCATAGTTGATGTATGTACATACAAGCACACACTGGAGTTTATGTGTTGGATTTGGTTTGCTTTTGATTGTTTACTTCGCCTCCTCCTCCTCCTTCCTCTTCTGCTTTTTTTTATTGTCTCAACCATAGCGAGGGCTTGATACTTGGTGGTGATCTCAATTGCCTCGCAAGGGTATATTATATATTTTGCCCAGTATTATAGCTTCAGATACTCGGTTCCTGACAGCCTGTCCTTCAATCCTCGATACATCCAGGAGAAGGTTGTGACTAAATTATCAATAAATAAACCCCTTAATCTTATTTCCAAATGAATCCCTTCCTATATTTGCTTCTGACTTTGAACTCGGTGGGCAGTGTACCAGGTAAACCGACACCGTTGGTTTAATTCCCAATTCTTCTGATTAGTTGCCACAATTTTAGAGATGGCCAGAATAGATAAAGCTTAACGGGGAGGAGAGTCTGCGTTTGCCTATATCATGCTAGATGCCGGAACACTGGTAACTGAGGACCCACGAGAGGTGGGCATGACATACCTGGTTCCTGCATACTTCCATAGTTCTCAGTAGTATTATTAATACTCGAGCCAAATGACCGCAAATGGCGATTTAGGCATAGGTCAAGTAAAGTATGATGGTCTGGGGGATTCTCTGGTGCAGACAGATACGGTGCTTGTCAGCGGGCCGAAGCTATGTAAAAGATGCAAGGGAGGTTTCATTCTGGAAACAACCCTTGGATGAGCATTAAGGGGGCCCGTAAGAAATCTCGAAGATGGATATAGTAGTAGAGAATAACAAAAGTCGTATAGAATAGCTGTCATTCAATAGCACAGTCGGAAGCCTCGTCTTCCTGGCTTTGAAGCAGTACTAACTGTGAGTATATATGGCAGGTAAGTCGCGGGTCGGCCCGCTTTAGCGAGCTTAAATTGCTTCGAGAAATGGAGTATCATCATTCATGATAGCGAAAGATATAGGTCAACTATTGGGGAATGGTTTGTGGGGCAGTTTTTTAACGAGCCTTACTGGAATAATATACAGGGAACGCAGTGCTACTTTGGTGTTGTCATGTGCTCTTATTAGTAGAACTATATTCTCTTTTTTACAATTCTCACTGCGACAGCAATGGAATTTAAGATCAAGTGTCGTAGCTTTTATTTTCAGAATCTAGAAAGATACAGTGTGTAGTGGAAATCATATAAAACCCATGTCATCACATCATCAAGCAACCCGTCGCTCGCCCCAACGCCAACAATGCTGGTATTAACTGGAAAAACACAAGAGCACGACGACAATTACGGAAGCACGTCTTTAAGGATATCTTTCTGAGAAGCAGTCAAACTGGCCGGGAACCGGACATTCACGTGAACTATCAGGTCGCCTCGCTCGCTTGGCTTCTTCGAAATCGTCATACCCTGGCCGGGGAACTTTTCTTCGTACCCGGGTTGTGTTGGACCTGGCTTGGCTACCCGGATCGATTTTCCATCGATTGTGCGCACGATCCGGTCCCAGCCGGTCAGAGCTTCTTTCAGGCTGATTTCAACAGTTGTAATGAGGTTGTCACCCTGGCGTTTGAAGTTGGGATGTTCTTTCTATATGGAAGTTAGTCACGAGTCCCACTACATTCGCGGGGCTAGTTTCGAAAGTTATCACTTACCTCTGTCACGATAAGATGGACATCCTGCCTGCCACCTTCTTCCTGATCGCCCACACCTCTGTACTTGATCTTCGAACCGGTCCGCAAGCCCGGCTTAATGTTCGCTTCAAGCGTTACATCTTGGACGGTGCGCTTTCCGCTCGTATCGAAAGTCTTGCTCTTCACGGTCACCTTCTTCGTTGTCCCGCGCATCAACTCTTCCAGTGTCAATGGCAATTCCTTTTCGACTACGGTCGGTTCGGGGGTAGGGGCGCGCTGAGATTGCTGGAAGGCACTGGGGCCACGGCTTGAGCGGAAGCTACGGCCGGCGCTGCCACCGCC